CCTTTGTTCTAAGCATCTTTCACAATACATTTCTCATACTGCACCATCAGCCTGATCTTACCCAGTGTAATTAAACAGACTTCTCTCAAAATATCTAAAGATATCTCACTCACCCTTAATAAAGAAGCTCAACTTTGCTGATTACTATTAATAATTGTTATTAATAATTCTGGCTACATGACACTGGGTCAGCTCTAAACCATGACTGTAAGCGACTGCTTTTTCCTCTCTCTTGTAAGACAGATTTTTGGGGGAAGGAAGAAGCAGGGGGGGCGCAGCTGTGCACTTACAACATCACTGGTCACCAAGGCCAGCTGCCTGCCAGCACTATTGGAAACTTTCTATATTTCAGAAAGTTTAAACCTTACTTCAACCTAAAGAACTTTTATCCAGATGCAAATAGCATACAGCTTGAAGTGAACATCAAACTACACCACACACATGGGTAGTAAAGTTAAATGTTATGGCAGATGCTGGGGTTAATACGGAAAAAAGACAGATAGTACTATAATGGCCTAAATCACTGCCATAAGAATAGCTGAAAACAGTTTAAAAAAAGTAATTTGGAGTTCAGATTACTGAAGAGAAAAAAATATCTGGAAACTTTAAAGAGACAGCTTGCTCCCTCTGCTCATATGAAACTAAAATATACTAAAATATAAACTCAATATACCAGAATTTACAGAACAAACCATGAAGCTGGCAGGGGTAACATTACTGAGCACGGGCAGAAGTTCAACAAGACTGTGTGTAAGGAATCATCGTAAGTCCATACTAGATAAAATGTAAATACAATTGAATGTCTACATAGCCTTCTTCAGGGAGTAAATGTATCATCCTTTGAATGTTTGATCATAACATAATATCTAGCAATTTTTGTAAGCATTCCCACATATACGTACAATACAAATCAGTATTATATCCAATTTCCCATCATTAAAAAGGAATGTATATTTCAATGAGAGAGAACTTCTCATTCTAGTCATAAAGGAAATCTTAACGTAAGCTATTAGGCAACCCTGAATAGCAATGTAAACTTCCTAGAGAATAGTTTTCAACCTTTTGAACTAAAGTCAAATGAAAACATAAGATACCACACATGCCTACCAGAAATCACAAGCTGTGCTGGCCTTGGCTGGGGTTGAGTTCATTTTCTTTGTTTTAGCTAGTATGGGAGCTGTGCTGAAAATTTGGGATTTTGAATTTGTGCTGGAAACAGTACTGACAGTACAGGGATATTTTAATTACTCCCAAGCAGAGCTTGAACATTGCCAAGGCCTTTCCTACTCCTCACTCAACCCCACCAGGGAGTAGGCTGGGGATACTCAATAAGATGGGAGAAGACACAGCCACGACAGCTGACCCAAACTGACTCAAGGGATATTCTACACCATACGATATCATGCTCAGCATATAAAGACAGGAGGATAAGAAGGAAGAGAGGGACATGAAGAGTGATGGCGTTTGTCTTCCCAAGTAACTTACGTGTGATGGAGCCCTGCTTTTCTGGAGATGGCTGAACATGTGCCTGACAATGGGAAGCAGTGAACGAATTTCTTGTTCTGCTTTGGTTGTGCATGTGGTTTTTGCTTTACCCACTAAACCATCTTCATCTCAACCCACAAGTTGTCACAGTTCTGCCCTTCCTATTCTCTCCCTCGGCCCACTGGGGAGAGCAGCTGTGTGGGGTTTAGTTCCCAGCTAGAGTAAAACAAGAAGACAATCTTAACTTTGATTGCTCTGAGGTAGACCATAAATTCCAGCAATCTACTAATAAATTCAAAACTAGTGTTGAGTGAAAGGCATTGCACACTTATTGTTTAAAACTTTAAAATAATCCCAAACCAGCATACCAGCTCCTTCCCCACCTACAACTTTCAATAAATAACACAAGTACGTACACCTGTTCCTAAAAACATCCTAGTATGTTTAAGCAGAGTCCTATCTATCTCTTGTGGACCATTCTGCCTCACTGCAAAGTAGGTAAGAATTGCTCCAAAGTGTAATTTCTAAAAAGAAAACTAAAACCCCCAAATCACTCCCCCCCCCCCAAAAAAAAACCCCACCCCACAACCAAACCAACAAACAAAACAAAAAAACAACCCCCACCCACCCAAACACAGAACCCCAAAGGCCACACGATGTCAGGCTCCACGTATTCAGCTATGTGTAAACATGAGTTACCCTCAGAATTATAAATACATTATATCTATTATTTCTTCCTCTCATTACCATTGGCCTTTCTTCTTGGTTAGATTTCTCATCCAGGCACAATGTTAAACTGAGCAACAAAAAAAGGCCTAATGTTCCTCCACACTTTCACAAAGGTTTTAATGGCAGAGTCAATTACACTTGGTCTAGTGCAACCTCTACAATTAATCACAAACAACGTATCTGTGATTTATTCAACTACAATTCAATTACAATTTATGTCTTTAAGCTGAAATAAATCTTTCACTACTGAGAGCAAAATACACTGTTAATTGCTTGAGGGGTGAGATACCTCTCCCAGAGCAAAAGAAAATAGCGTTAGGCATAAAATTCCATTTCTAATCAGTATTTCCCTTACTGATAAACATATATGGATGAAATAAAACATATCCACCCTATAAACCCTGGGGTTTATCCTTTTTTATTTTCTTTTCTTTCCAGAAAAAGCCTCAAAATGTTTTAAAAAAATTGAGTTTAACCCCCCCTCCCAAAAAAAATAATAGTTAAGGTTCTTGTGTTTTTCTGCAAAAATGAAGCTGTTTAGTATTAGATATGGCCATTGAAAAAGCCAAACCAACAAAGCAACAAAACCCTAAAACTAAGGGATTGCCATCTCATTTCAATCCCTATTACAAGTATAAGCTTCCTGCCCCAAACAGATGAAAACAACACTCCTCTATGCAATATTCTCACTGTTTAAATCCTCCTACTGTTGTCACCAATATTAATTGACTGTTTAATTTCCAGTTTAATCTCTCAAATAGGAAGCCCCTGTAGTACCACTAGATCACCCTTTGTACAGCATGCTTCTTACTAGCGGTTATGGTCAATAATGTGTCCTACATCCATACCAGTATCTTAACTCTACCTTTCAGCAGCTGGGGCACCACTCTGTAATCCTTTATGACAGCATTACCTTAGGGCTGTACAAACTTTCAAGAATGAGTACTACAGCTTTAAAACTGCAACTGATGATGTTTTAACAGCTATGAATTCTGAATTCAGCTGTCCTGGAGAGGACAAACATCCTGTCAGTAATGCATATAATGACAACTGCTAGTAACCCTAGCCCTGTTATCAATCAGTGGTACATGACCAACTAAAAAGCCCCACAAAATCAAAAAACCTCTGCACTCTCAGAATGCACCTGCCCAACTTTTTCCTGACAACGTGCATCACTTACCTGCACTGCTGATTGTCTTTCTGCTATTTAGTTTCTCTCCATTAACCACCAGACCCAAGATCATCCATTTATTCTGTATTATATCCCAGTTGAGTACAAAATAAAAAAGTGTCAGTGATCACTTGTAATGCAGACAAAAGTTTATCTTCAGCATCTTCGATCTACTCCTATAGACAGCAGCAAAAACAACCTTCAGGAGAAGCATCTAAACCTTTACAGCTTTTTTTGCAGACACCTGTCTTTTTGAAAGTGTATACAGTTTCGCACAATAGAAAGTCAACAATTTCCAACTATGTTATTCACTACAGGGGCTGACCGGATGAGGTTGTAAACTCTTCCAGTTTTCTTATTGCATCCCTGGTGACCACATGGCATCATGTCATTCTTCTATTCCTCGCTGTGTTTTCTTCCCAACCTTAAGCTATCACTTCTTAGAGTGGCTGAAGAAAACATGAGTGTTTTCTAACTCTAGACAGTAAACACAGTCACTCAATATGATAATTTTGACTTTCTCTTCCACCCTACTGAAACAAGTAGTTCTTTATTTGCTGATTGGTTTTGAACAGTTAGAATGCTTTGGAATTTGTTTCCCCCCTTCTCAGTTCTAGAGCCACTATTTATTTCCAGATGAATGAACTCCCTCAACTCCCCCTCTCCTACAAGACATCAACCTGAAATCCTCTGGTTTCCCTCAAAGGACGTAAAACTAGAAGGAAAGCAGCTACTCCATCTTATCAATCTCTTGTAGTGAAGCTGAATCTAAAACACAGATAACACTAGTCTGTTTTTACATTTCCTTCAAAACTATCACTATTTGCAGTCAGTCAGAGCAAACAGCTTCAACTTTAACCCCTGCTGTTAAATCTCACTCTCATGTTGTTCTCACAGGAAGGAACCGAGTTTCAGGACGCTGGAATCGTTTGGAAACTCAGAAGACAGCCACAGAGCCACTACAGTAGTCAAACACCCAACTCTCTTACAGTTCAGCCCTACTCAACACCCCTTAAGGAGAATCACCACTTAAAGAACACCTGTATTTTCACTATTGCATTCTTATAAATCCATGTCTTACAAAGGCAAACCAAACAGACTGACATTATGCCTTGATAGAGGAAGGCTTTTCTTTTCTTTGCAACCACGGTACCATAGTTATTTCGGAAATGTGCTAACTCGCTTTCTACAAGCCAAGCTCCGTGGTCACTAACAACGAGTACACATGCACACACGCATCTGAGAAGAGGCGCTCATCTTAAGGCACTCTGTAATTAGAGAAGCAATTATTTACCCTTCCTCCCCACGCCCAGGCAGCAACAGGCAGCACAGCAAGAGCCCGGGGCCCTGCGAGTCCGGGGGTACCGGACAGCAGCTGCCAGGAGGGTTCGGACACTGAGGCCGCGCCCCTCTTGCCTCCCCCGCCCCTTCCCCAGCTTCACCTCAGGGTCCCTCCCGCGGGGAGGAGGCTCCAGACCCCCGCCGCCGCGCTCCCCACGCGTGGGGAAGCACACACAGTACCACGGTGCGGGCGCTGCCGCTAACTGCCACCCTGCAGGCTCCCACCGCGCACCGGCGCACAACACCGGCCCGGCCCGGTCCCGCCAGGTCTCACCTTCCCTCCTGCTCAGGGACATGGCCCCTGCCAGCGGCCTGACCTAGCCCCTACAGCCGACAGCCAGCAGCTCGCGCTCCTTCCTGCTCGCAGCCGCGCCTGTCCGTCACGGCGCCGGCGGCGCGCCATTGGCGGAATGGGCGGCAGGGGCGTGCCCGCGGAGTCGGCTGCGACCCGCGCGGCCCCGCCTCTCGCTCCCTCCCTCCCTCCCGCGGTGGCCGGCGCGGTGCCCGCGGGCTCCGGCAGGGGGAGCGCGGCTGCGCAGAGGCTGGCGGGCGGCGGCGGCGCCCCGGCGGGGTGAGTGGCGCCGGGGTGATGCTGGGCGTGCGGCGCTCCTCCCGCCGCCGGTCCCGGTCCCGCTGCCGGCCGGGCGTCTCCTTCACCTGACCCGGCAGCCCCCGCGCAGCCCGCGCCCGCCGCGTTAATAATGCACTAGAATGTCAGCGCTGAAAAAGGTACCGAGCGGCCGAGGGACATGAGGGCAGAAGGGGGGGGGCCGCCGTCGGGGCTCGCAGCTCGCGGGATGCCCCCCTCTCCACGTCCCCAGCTCAGGAACGGGGCTGCCGGTGCCGCTGGGACCGCAGCCGTCGGGGACCGGTGCCCCAGCAGCTCGGGGACGGCGCGCCGACTGCGCCGTCGGTTGTGGTGTCGTCCCCCAGCACCGGGGCGTCCCGGCGCCGCGCCGGCCGTGATGGGGTCTCACCGTGGCGGGGTCTTGTCTCAGCACAGCCTGGGCAGGACGGTCTCGCGGCGGGATGAGCTGCGCCGGCCGCGGCGTGCGGAGTAGGGGAACGGGGATGGACGGACGGACAGACCGATCTTCGGTGCGGCCGGTTTGGCCAGAGAGAGCGGCGGTGCAAGGGGTGCTGCGCGCGGAGCCGGAATACCGGTGGCAGTTTAAATTTGGGGAGCGAATAATTCTCGGAGCCGCCCCGCGAGAAGGGGCCGGGGGAACCGGGACTGCCGCCGCGCCGCTGCCTGGACTTTAACTGCTTTTCCCTTTTCCCTTCCTGGCAACCGCGCCGTGCCGCGGAGGACACGGGCACGTCGAAAGGGCCGCGCTGCGCCCCTCGAAGGGAGGGAGGCGGGCGGACCCCGCGCCGGCTCCACGCATCTTCCATGCCGCGGACGTGCAGGGCGCGGCGCGCCTGGGGAAGTCCGCGGGCGCGGAGACTGGCGCAGGGCCCGCTCTGCGCGCGATCGCCTGGGCTGTCGCTGGTGGGTTTCCCCTTGGGGAGAACTATGTCAACGGCTAGCTTGGCTGAGCGCCCCCGGGCCCTAGAACCACCGTCTGCCGGAGAAATAAATCAATTAACCGGCATCACCGTAAGAGCGCAGCTCGGTCCGGCTCTCCTCCCGGCGCGGAGCCGCGCACCGCCCGGCGGCCGCCACCTCGGGGTGGTGCGAGGGCGACACCTCCCCCCCTTGCCCGGCCTTGTGCAGTGCAGGTCGAGGAGCGGGGGAAGTCCTCCGGGCAGCGGGGAATGCGGAACGGGCTTTCTCCTACAGCCCCTCTTTCTGCCGCCTTCGTAACCTAATTCTGACACTGCCGGTGCCCCAGTTCCGATAGCGGTGCCGGTGCGATGGAGAGAGGTGTTAACATCTGCAACTGCTTCGGCCCCAACTTCCCTGAAACTTCCAAGGGTTTCTAATCTGCAGCAGTTTGCTTCCGAATGTGTTTCAGTACGGCACAGGCTCACGCCAGCTTAATGTGCCTTGGGAGCAGGTGGTATTTGAATCCCTTACAAATTAAAGCACTTCAGAACGAGATCAAGTGCTCCCGTCACTCCAGGTGGTGTGAGCCCAAGAACAAGGCTGAGAAACAAAAGTGCCTTTCTCGATACTGAAGGGTTTTGTCTTGTGTTACCGAGTGCTTCAAAACAGCATCACGAGCAGAGCACTAGCAAAATTTGTAACATTGGGTATCTGTAGGCATTTACGTAGTAGGTGGCTGCAAGCAGGCTTCCTGCTAGGAGGAAGGGTCACCTCAGTGGGGCCAAGTGCGGGTCTGAGTGCATGTGACTGAGTAATCTCGTGTGGGGTCTTAGTAGCTGAATGCTTTGGACCGCAGCTTGTGATATGTCAGGGGAGCGTACTGGTTGTACCAGGCTTGTGTTTGAAAAGCAACTCCGTGGTAGAGCAGGGGATGATATTATTTTATAATGCAAATGCAGTTGAGGCATCAGCCTTTCACATCTGTGATTTTTTTTTCCATCTTTGCATTTTATCTGGGAAACAGGTAAAATAGCAAGAGTAGTGGTTTTATATTTCTGTGCTTTCAGCAATAAAGCAATTATACTTCTAAGTAATTTCCAGATGGTTTGCACAAAGCACTTTCTTTCAGAATTACAAGTTTTAATTTTACTGTGTGTAGCTATTTTTACAGAGCTAACCAAATTTTTACCATTTGTATTTGAAAGGCTGTGTCCCTTCCCTATCATTTTGTGTGCCTTTCAAGATGTCTGGTATGTGGTTAAAATGGACTCAGATGATGATTAATATTTTTATGAATTAACAGTGTTATGCATTGGAGATTTAGTTCGGAGTGCTGTAGTCAGACCCTGTGTGATCTGACATAATATTCCTAAGTTAAATGCATTTATTATGCCATTGTGCAGTTATACACAAAGTAAAAACTAGGACCGTCAAATAAATTTGTAGATTCTATTTTAGATTATTTTTAGCTTTCCATTTGAGTACTATAAAGTGCTATTTGCATTTAGCTGCACATATACCTGCATTGCTCTGGAATGGTGTAGGGCTTACCTCGTTGTTAACTTTTTAGAATTTCCAGTCCCTCTGAAATGAATTTAAATTTCTGGTACAAGTTGAAGTTACTTTTGGAGTGAGGTCATAAATACTTCAAACAAGCATTTCACAACCAGCAAACACAGACTGCTTTTGAAAGAAGTATTGAGGAGAGTGTTTTATCGATGTAACACATAAAGCCACACAGTTGAATCCTAGATTTGTAGGATCGCTTGTAATATTCCTATTGACTTAATGGATTGGGCTTTCACATTTGTGTAGGGCAAAGTCCCACCAGTAGTAATGGCAATATTGCTGGCTATGCCAAGTTGTTACAAGAAAAAGTTACCAAATTAAGACAAAAATGTCAAGAAGGTACATTATGGCTAACTAAAAGTTATGTTCTGATATATCCCAGTATATGGAATAACTTTAATATCAGTTGGTAGATGTGATAGGAGAAATGTATCCCCCAATAGGACATTCATACCCGATCCTGAGGAAAGCTTAGCTACTCAGGTTCCAGTGTGCCTGAAGACAGGATAGCATCCCACCCAGAGGGTAGCCTCTGCAGGCTTTCTTGAAAATCACCTGTCCTGGCCAAGGTACCATGTTACAACAGGTTTTTTCTGACAGCAGGCGTTCTAATAGGAAATATTCATAGTGCAGTATGAATGACTAAATTTCAGCTTGATTGAGAGCTTTGGCTAAATTACGAACATTGGAGTATTTATTGGGATAGTTTGCATGCATTAACAAAGGCAATAAAATGTTATTTTACACCTGCCTTTGGCAGGAACTTTTTTTCCCATTTGCAGTTACATGTAGTCAAAGCAATTTCCTTGTATAGCTATGTTAATCCCATGAGTAGTTTTGGTAATAAAAAGAACATTAAAGTAAACTCCTGTTTTTTTCTAAGGTGTACTGTTGGGATGTATCAGACTTTTCGAACTACGTCAGTCAAACAAAATCAGCTGCTTCAGTTCTACTCCATGAACAAGACAAGTCTTATTTGCTGCTTTCGTTCATCACTACAGTGAAGTTATTTATTTAACCATACATAAAGAACGAGATGAGCACTAATGCAGAAAGTTAGTGTTAGCTCATTCATTATGACTGTATTGAAGAGAGAGTTTCAGTTCATACATAGAAATGTATTATGTGGTCCAGAATATCCCAACTGAATCGAAAATATTCTGTTTGCTAAATGGGTAGTTATGTTTGAATAATTACTGGAAAAAAAAAAAAAAGTAGTTCAGTTTGCCTTGCAAAAATTCATAGTCATCCACGAACCATATGGCTTTCCTAACTCTAGTAGAGAAATATCTCTCTGCATAGCAGATACAGTATGTCAACAGCTATGATCAAATATAAGTAGAAGTAGGCATGGATGAATCAGAACCTTTTTTAAAGTAGAGACCTGTTGAAGGCCACAACTTCTCATATTTCAGTCCATATATATCTCCATTATAGAATTATATTTCTCGAAACAGATTATCGTTCATCACAGCTACTTCCTGTGGTAGGGGCCAAAATGATTCATTAAAGTAAAGTAAGTACTCTCCCATGGTATTTATTTAGGAAATGTCAAGTAGCAGTTTATTCATTTAGTACATGCTCAGTTGTGTTGAGAGGATGGAAATCACCGCACTTAGATTGCTCAGTGTTTCTATGCGTGCATAGATTTTTGGTCTCACTTGGCTTTTATCTGTTTCTCACTGTACTTTTTAAATACTTCTTTTGTGCATAAAATTTACTTGTCTTCCAAGCATTTTTATTCTGTGTTTGTCGTGTTTCTCTGTCTTTGCCAGTTTGGAAAATGAACAACAAATTGCTTTCAATATGGCATCAGCCTTTAGCCCTCTTAAATTTTTTGTCATTTTATAACCATATAGTCTTATGATCTAAAAATACTTTATTTCCACTTTTGGTAGTCAATATACTATACACCTGCAATTAGCAGAGATGCGTAAGGTATACCACAGGTAAAGGCTTTTATCAGGTAGGGGCTTTTATCTCAAAGGAGAATTGGCATCTCTTTTATTTGGTAGATGCTGCTACCACTGTGTGTAGATAAAGTAGATAAGATAAATTGACAGTAATGAAACATGTCAAAAATATGGCCAAATACTACATAAATCCAACAAGGCAAAAATCAGACATTTAGAGATTCACGCTGTCCGTATGCACAAGTAATGGAATTCTAGGATCCTAGAGTGGTTTGGGTTGGAAGGGACCCTAAAGACCATCTAGTTCCAGCCTCTGTTGGACAGGGACACCT